GTATGGAATTACATTTATTTTAAAAGTTTCCTAAGCCTTTAAAATCTCCTTGGCTGCTTTGTCTTAGGATCTCCTTGGCTCGAGCCCCAGAATTGCTGAAGTCACCAGCCTCATGGCCCTGTTGTGATTCTCTCATTAACACAGTTCAATTACAAAATAAAGTTCTGTGTCTCAGATCGCTTTCCAGGCCCTGCGTGAAGCGATGGCCTTTGCAGTGAAATGAGGATCTCAAACTTATTTGTACCCATTTTGTATGAAATATCCTTCTGCTACCTCCTAAATGCAGCTGTGCCCTAGACGCGGGAATGTACACATCACAACCTGCAGCACGTTGCAACAGGTTTGCTTAAAAATCTGTTGTTGGTTCTTTAATGATTTTCTAACCCATTTCAAGGTGCGGTGTCCGGAGTCTGTCTTTATCCTGCTGCAGAAACTCGTTCCTTGATTTTGGAGTTCAGAGGTAGAGTTTGCCAAGGAAAGCTCAAGCGTCCCACTCCCTTACCCCAGGTTTACACCCGTGTTCCCCATTGACTTCACTGGAGTTCCTCTGATTTAGACTGGTGTATATTGAGAGGAGAATCAGGCTCTGCTTGTGGGTTTCCTTCATGGCTGAATGCAAAAGTGACTGGCAGGGACGTGTAGGTTAGAGGAGTTGTAATAATCTGCGGCCATAACAGACCTTCTGGCTGTCAGGTGCTGTGCACACCACCACCATATGGACTTTGCAGTTGTCGGCAGGCATGAAACTCAGGTTATTCTGCTCCATTAACAAGGGAGGCTAATCGTTAGCAGCAATATGCACAGCAAACATGCCTAAATTGGAGCAGAATCATCATCTGCGATATAGCAGATGGCAGAGACAGCAGGGCTAGAACACCAGACTGGGACCTGTATTCTTTGCACACTGTTACTCCACATTTAAGATGATGGTAGCTTTGATCCCCATTGTAGAACTTCCATGAGAGGAATTTGGCTCACGGGTCTGCCACTGGCCAATCTCTTGTGTAGAAGAGCGCTCTAAATAGCAAATTATCCTGGGGGTAGCCGGTGGCTCTCTGACAGCTTAAATGAATGGAGAATCTGTGGAAGCATATGAGGATCAAGAGAGGGTGATCCCTTACTCCGGGCATCCCAGGGCATTGCCGGTCGTTGCCATTTATTGCCAAGTGATGTTTGATGTTCTTAAAGTCCTAGCCCCTAGGGGCCTGTGATTATGTGAGAATCTCATTTGTTTTTCTTCTTTAAGTACATTTCTCACCTTGGTCATGATTGGAGAGAAAAACTTGCAGACATGACCCCCGGAAGCACAGAAATCAGAAGGAAAATAAAAAGACCCAAAACTGTATTATTTTTAATGATTTTTAAGCCAATCTCTTTTGGAGCCTGAGGTGTGATTTTTTTTTAACACTTAGGATTGGGATAACAAGTCAATTCCATAGCCCTCTCACTCTACCGAGTGACCACTGTTTCTGTTAAACTGTAAGTGTCGCAGTGCAGGGATGGTCTCTGCCTGTGTCTTGTACAGCAATGGTTCTCAACCAGGGGTACGCATAGTGACTGGCAGGGACATGTAGGGCAGAAGAGCAGAAGCCGAAAGAGGGAAGAAGGAGGGGGAGAAAGAAGAAGCGGAGAGGGGGGCAGACGAAGGCGGAGAGATCTTCCAATGGGTACATCAGCTCATCCAGATATTTGCCTAATTTTACAACATGCTACATAAAATGCACTAGCGAAGTCAGTACAAACTAAAATTTCATACAGTCAGTGGCTTGTTTATATTGCTCTATCTACGATACACTGAAATGTAAGTACAGTATTTATATTCAAATCCATTTATTTTACAACAGGGTGGATTTGATTTAAATCAAACTGATTTAAATCATGATTTAAATCACTAGTCAGGAAGACTCGATTTAATCATGGTTTTCTACGTAACAGTGCATTCTTGTTGGTTGTTATAACCTTAATACATATTCTTCACAACTCAGAGATAGATGTAGGTTTCATTTTTAGAAGGTACACGCTATACATTTTTAAACAGTGATTTATTTTGAAAACTTTTCAGATTAGTTTTACAGCTATATCATAAAATGAATGATTGGTTATTTCATTTATCAAAGGTCATTGAAGCAGGTATTTATGAAGTCATTGGGAGGTGCACTATCTCCAGTTCAACAAGTTAATCATTAATATTTGGAGGATTTTCTTGCCATGCTGTATTAGGAGGAGAACATCACCAGACAGACATTTAAATTGTTTTATTTAACTAAAACAACAACATTAAGTATTCTGGATTATTTTCAACAGCAAACATAACATTTTAACAAAACAAGCATATGTCCCTCGCTTCTCACATTTATCTCCAGACTTCTTCTCCTGGTCCAGATCTATTCTGCCCCCAACAATCTTCTATTCATTGAACTTTTTGAAACTTTGCACTTTTAGAGAGAGGTAAGGGATTGACTCTGTGTACACAAATTTTCAGAGGGACAATAGGGTTGAGGTCTAGTATTTCTCACCTCTCTATATTTATTTATTTTAGAACAGTTTTGCGGTTAACAAGCATGTTATCTCTGGAGACACAAATCCACAGTTTGAGAACTGCAAAACTAAGCATCTCTGATGGTATCTTCTAGACTGAGCACTGAGTCCCATTGGGTAGATAGAAAGATTAACCTAAATAATCTATACAGAAGCTGCTGGAACCCCATAAAATTGGGTCCCTAATCCATGAACTATTTGTAAGCGGGGCAATAGTCCCACTATTGTGGGGAACTTTCCTAGCTTCTGCACTACCCGGGGAAGTGGGCTAGCGAAAGGATCTGAGTCCTCGCTCCCACCTCCTTTACCCAGTGGCCTCCCTGCCCTTGAGGACTCCCCTTCCACTCTCCTGTCTGGCAGAGTCCTCGTAACCACAACAAGGCTGGGCCCAGGATTCCTGGGGGGCTCGACCTCCAACCCTGCTGTGGTCAACTAGGACAGGGGCTAGGGTGTCCCCACTCCGGGGTACTCTCTCTGCACTGGGCACTTCTCTGACCCACTGACCATTACATACAAGTTAAAGCAAATGCAAGTTAATTAATCAACAATTAATTGTAAAAAGAATAAGGAAAAATGGGAGAGGTTAAAGGAAACACATCACCCCGCTCTGTGGCAGGGAACATCACAAACAGTGTCTCTGGAACGTCAGGGCAGTTCACAGTCTGTTCCTTGTAAGTCCCAGGCCTTCTTCTCAGGCCCTGGCTGTGCTGCAGGGATGCCGTGGGTTGGACGCTTGCTCTGGTGGTGGCCACATGCTCTCAGGCTCTAAGTGGTAGGACCTTTCTTCCCAGTGTCGCCCCCGCCCTGTCGGGGTTACGATCCAAGTCTAGCCTGCAGAGCCTCTTGGCTGAGGCGTCTCCCGGTGCTGGGCCTGCTGCCCAGGGTCCCCCTCGCTCTCCCCAGCTGCCCACCGCACCCAGCTCCAGACTGCTCCAGCCCCAGCTGCACCACTCAGTCTCTGCTGGGCTGCTGCTCTGCCTCCAGCTCCCTGGGCTGCTTCTTTGGCCCCTCTGGCTCTGGTTGCTGCAGCTCTGCTCCCAGGACAGGTCTGCTCTGCAGGCTGCTTCTGTGACTCTGCTCCCAGCACTGACCTGCTTCCTGGGCTGCTTCTCTGGCCCCTCTGGCTCTGGTTGCTGCAGCTCTGCTCCCAGGGCCAGTCTGCTCTCTCTGGGCTGTGCCTCTGGCTTTGGGGCTGCAGCTCTGCTCCCAGGACAGGGTTTGCTCTCTCTGGGCTGCTTTTCTGGTCCCTCTGGATCTGGCCCAGCTCTGCTCCCCAGCTTAGCTTGGGCCCCTGCTTCTCCTTAGGTCAGCCCCACTCTGTCTGACCCAGGAAAATCCAACTCACACGGAGGACGAGGACAGGACCTCCCTGGCCTCCTGACTCTCTGATTAGCCTGTCATTCAGGCTGACCAGGAGCATTGGCCTCTCCCCATTGTTCCTGGGGACTATCAGTCTCAGGGTCCTGGTTTCCCATAGACCCTTCCCCTTTTAGTACTGGGAGCTAGCAACTAAAACACCCCCACTGAATGTTAGTAAGGGGGCAACAGTCCCCTTACATATTGGAACTCATTTACAAAACTTTTCTTAAACGTTACATGAATATATTGTCTCATACTGTAGAATCAGAATTTATAATCCCTATTCTATGATGAGATCTCTTTGAGCTACAATGTATCTTAATTAAAACTATCTTGAGACAGGTTTTTTCCTCGAAAAGCATTTTATCAAAAATCCCATATTTTTAATATTTTTTTTAAAAAATCATTGATTTTTATCCACCCTGTTTTACCAGCATATGGTAAAAATGAGAACATCAGCATGTTTTCAGCAAGGGTGCGCTGTGACACCTTTGTATTTTATGTCTGATTTTTGTAAGCAAGTCGTTTTTAAGTGAGGTGAAAGCTGGGGTACGCAATCAGAGTCCTGAAAGGGGGACAGAAGCCTGAAAAGGTTGAGAACCACTGCTGTCCCTGGCAGCGAACGCGAGCACGCTCCTGTGCGGATGCCGCAGCCTGCACAGTGGCAGCTGCCCCAAGATCCCCGTGCAGCTAGGCAGGCAGCGTTCTGGGCAAAGGGCATTCACCGACTCCAGTGGGGTTCCCCCTTTTCCAGCTGAGCTGGTCTGGCAGGGGCACCCCCTTCCCCTTCTCCTGGGCCTGCAGAAGGCACGTTGCTTCTTTAAGAACTTTTCCCCTCCCCCACCCTTCTCAGTCTCTGCCCTTCCCCTGCCCTCCCCGCCCCTGGGAAGCAGGCGCTGCCCCTTTAAGACCTGCCTCGCCTCGCAGGTGTTGCCAGACGGGATGGATACAGAGCGTTCTAAGCAGGGCGGGGCCGCGGCGGCCGTGGAGTGACGGGAGGGGAGAGCGACCAATAGGGAGGCAGGCGGCGGGGTCGGCCGGGCCAATGGGCGGGCAAGGTGGGCGGGGCAAGGCTGGGGTCTGCCAGCTGGGGGAGCTGGCGCTGGCGATCGGGGTCGATCGGTGGCTGCGGGTGGCCAGGGCGGCCCCGGCTCCCGTGGGCCGGCAGTGAGCGGGCGGGGCGGGCCCGGGGCCATGCCCAGGCGGCTGGCGGGGCCCCCGCGGGCCCCCCACGGGGAGGATTTCTCCTTCGTGAGCCCGCTGGTGAAGTACCTGCTCTTCTTCTTCAACCTGCTCTTCTGGGTGCGTGGGGGCGAGACCCGGGGCGGGGGGCACAGGGGCAGCCAGCCCCGTCCCTTGGCAGAGTGTGGGGGGCATGGCGGAGGTGGGGGGGTGATTCCCCTGTCTGGAGCGAGGGGGGCCAGCAGGGCATGGGGGGCCCGAGGGTATTGCCATGCCTGGGATGAGCCCTTAGGGCAGAGGTGTGGGGGGAGCTGGAGGGGAGGGCGGTGAGACGGTCCGTGGGTGGAGGAAAATGACCCCCATAAAATCCACCCCAGCTAATGTTCTTTTCATCCCCGTTCCAAACAGGGCTCACAGCTCTTTAAGGAGCACAGTCACTTTCTTTTTATCCATGTAATAGAGGAAAAAACACTTCTTCCCCCTCTCTCTGCTTGTTCATTAATTTTGGCTGCGGCGCGGGGTGGGGGGGTTTGATATTTTTATTCTGAACAAACCTAGTCGCCAGGATGTGTCCTGACAAAAACTGTACAGTAAAAAACCCTTCTCTGGGCTTCTGAAAGGAAAACCGAAATAAGGGGGTAAATTCTCATTTACTTCACCTGCACCTGAAAGAGGACTGGCTTCATTTTAGCCAGTGCCCTTTGTGGCTGGCCTCTTGCACCCTAGCATGAAGCTGTTGTGACCGGTTTCCCAGCAGGGAATCTTAAAATCCAGGAAACCAGAAACAAAATGCATTTCTGTTCTCGGTAGGTTTCATAAAACTGTCAGTCTCCCCCACTCCCTCCAACACAGGTGCACGCATGGTAAAGGTTGTCTCTAACCTACGTTGTGAGATGTATCCCTTTAAGAAGGGAGTGGAGCTTAGAATAATATCTGAAAGGTCCCTGAATAGTGATCGCATCAGTTCGTTCAGCCTGGATACTGTTCTAAAGACAGCAACTCTAACCTAGTGTGAGCTTGGCTGAGAATTGGGGAACAGCAAATAACACTACACTTAAAGAGGCCTATTTATATGTTTGGTGGTTGTTTAGACTTAGACTTTGATTATTGTGTAAAATCGGTCAAAAGCGGCGGGGGTGGGGGGGGGAAACATGCAAAGCAAATGTCTCGCATGCTGTGTGAGTGGTTGGTCGGAACTGTTTCTCATAGACCTTCAGCCACTATCAGCAGTGGCATCGTCGTGTCAGGGTATGCTGGCCCTTTGGATAACCAGCTGAACGCAAATTGGACACCTTTTGTCTCTGTTGATGTTCGTTGCTCTGTGCATTTCTATTACACAGGCACCTACGTGGTGCTGCATTGATTGAGGCTGTGGAATGGGGGGGCCAGTCAGCTATCGGGTGACTTGTTCCCATATCTCGTATACTTGTCTGGTTTCTTTTCTTTTCCTTTTTTTTCCCCCCCTTCAAAAAAGGCCTTTTAATTAAGGGAGGTAAGGAAAAAAAAATGTATCCATGGCTCTCCTTGCCCTTCAAAGTCTGTAGAATTTACAGGGACGTTGGCTTTAAAAATCACACATCCCTTGGTGGTTTTTTAAACCCACTGCAGAGCTTTGTTCCTGTCTTATGCAGTCAGTTTCCACTTCTACTTTGTGGGGGTTTTCTTGAGAACGACAGGCCAGAGACCGAGAGATTCTTTATTTTTAAAGGAAAATGTGATTGCTACACTGCAACACTGGGGACGCTACTTAGAACATTTTTAAATCGACTGTATTTCTAGCTGACATGGCCTGTTTAATATCAATGGTGACTTCACTTCACTTTACTAACTGGAGTAATGTCTTGGGGTAAGAAGAAGGTGCTTTTAGAGCTTAGAATGACTACAAATTAGGACTGTATGCCCAGCCCTACCCTGTAGGCACCATCAGGTTGGCTGGTTGTTTCCAGTGCTGTTGCGTGAAGCTGGTGCCATGTAGAATGTCCTTTGTGGTTCAGCTGTTTTGCTCTCTTTCTTCCCAGGTTGGTATAGTTCAGCCAAGTGTTCAGCACTCACTGGAGTTGCCATAGTCAGAATACCTTTGCTAGGTGACCACAGTGTCTGAGAAGGGATAGACACAGGCCAGAGGACAAATTGGAGCAGATCTTTCTACCTGGTCAGCCTTGTAAACAGCTCCTTGGTCAGATGTGCCTTTCCCAATGAACTTATGAACCTTACAGCTGTGCCCAGCAAATTCCTGTAAACTGGCGGGGCTTCAGAGGAGCTCCTTTGAGCCGCGTGCCAGCGGGGGTCTTGTGCTAGAAATGCACGCGCGTTGCCGAACAGGGACCGCGTGGACAATGGCAGCCTTCCCACAGCCTCCTGTCCATGTTCTCTAACCGTGTCCGGGGCCAGCTTGGAGTAAGAGCAGCTCAGTCTCCGTGGCACGTTCGTTCCTTGTTGCCTCTGCTGAGAGGGTTGGTTAGGAAGGTGACTTTTTGTGGGGTGGACGCCTGTCCCCTGGAAACGGAGCTGAGGTCCCATCTCCTTTCCCAATGGCCTCCCACATCCACTGATGGTTAGTTTTCTCTGGCTGGCCCCCTTTTGCCTTGACCCCTGCAGTCCTAGTGGAGTGCCTGTCCCCTCTGAACACTACGGTGTTAACCATCTCCCTGTAAAATGCCAAGAAGAGGAGGAAGCATCGAATATGGTAGTTTCACTAGTTGATCTCATGCGTCTGAATGGACTTGGCCCAGCTCAGTGTAAGCATGAAGTTGACTGATTTCTAGCGTAGAATAAACTTACAGCTGGAAATACCTACTGGGTCACCTGTTTATCTCCCCCAATGCACTTCGAACCCTTCCTTGGCCAATGATATTTTCTTTAATAGCTGAGATCCTTAGAGCGGCCCTCTAACTGGGAAGCAAGACCTCACAGGGTTGTCACTTGTAGCTTGCCAGGAACTGCCCCAAAAGCCCCCTGTAATTCCAGTCTAGCAGAACCCTCTGCTTCTAGCTTTCTTGCCTTGATCTGTTTGTAAAGGGCCCCTCTTCAGTGAGTATCCACATCGCTGTCTAGTGGTCAGAGCTGGTGGACCTGTGAGTCGGGTTATATTCCTGGCTATGCTATTGGACTCCCAGTCCTTGCCTACACAAGAAGGTATACCAGCAAAAGGACTTACACCCCACCATATAACTGCATCTACACTGGGGTTTTGCCAGCATGACTGTATTATTAAGAGGTGTATTTATTCTTTTGTTCACACTCCTAACCAACGTAGCTATTCCAGCAAAACTTTTAAGTGTAGCTCTAAATACACCTGCCGCAGGCCACAGTAGGTCACTTTCCCTGCCTGTAAAACAGGGATTTGACTCAGAGGCCTTGAGGATTAACTGGTTGTCCCTTGCAAAGAACACAGAGTTCTTCTGCCAGAAGGTGCAACAAGGTCAGATGAGGGTCACTCTGATAAAGGCTCCATACCCAGCCAAATTGGCCCCCTAGTAAGGGGGACTTCTGTCACAAACCTCAGCCTTGTGGGTGCAGCTTTGGCATGATCTGGGCCAAAGGGAATCTGCAGCCTGAGAGAAGAGTGCATGGAGGAAGACAAGCTCTTGGCAGTTTCTTGCCTTCCCTTCTTATAAGGCACATCCCTGTGCTGTGCTTATTTCTTTGTCCTTAGTTTGGTCTGATGGGCTTTCTCTCCGGCCTGATCGCGCTGTGATCTAGAGATCGGGACAGTGGTGGCAAAACGTCCAGGCTCAGTATGGTAGTAGTTGCACTTCCCCTTTGCAAAGAGGAACCGGTGTCCCTCAGAATGTCCTTGGGCTGAGGGGGGCTCCTTTCAGAGCCCACCAGCCCTGCCCCTTGGTTAGCTGACACTGCTGCTGTAGATGGGCACAGCAATTCCTGGTCAAAGGTGCAAATGAATTCCATGTGTGTGTGGAGAAGTCTCCGTTCCCCCCCCCCATCTACCCCCTTGTAATGCTGCAGAAATGCTGGGGGCTGGAGCAGGCCGCGGGCCAGGATGAGCATTGCAGCCCTCACCACCGGCCTTCTGAATTCATACATCCCTGTGGAGTCTGTCCTCACTGCGTGTCCCAAGAGAATGATGGGAATTTGGGGGCCGTTGGCTGGTGGGGATGGAAAACGTGATTGGGGGGGAGTGAAGGAGTGGCCCCCTGCTTCAAAACCCCCACCCCAAAAGAAATGCTGTTTGCATGTGTCTAAGCAGAGACCTGCCAGGCTGAGCCGGCTATGCCAGGGCTTCCTGTGCGGCTTGCAAGCACCATAATTACCGCTGCGTGCGTTATCCAATTACCTGCCTGGCACTTTCCTTCACAGCTCATCTAATCCAGTCAGTTGTCAGCGTGATTGTTTTTATGTGGCTTGCCTGGGGAGGAGGTTCTGACAGGTCACAGAGCTGACACACCCCTCCACCCCCCCGCACCCATGGCAAATAGCACGGGTAGGAAGTAAAGAGTTAAATCAGGCTGGTTAGGTTTAGAGGTTATGCCAAGTGGCACGGCAGGGGGATACATTCCTGGGGGAAGCCCTCCCATATGGGCTGAACTAACCCATGGAGCAGGGCTCTGGTGTGTAACGACGACTCAGTTCTCAGCAGGGGCGGGCAGAGTCCTGTCCTTAAGTGGAAACCCTGGCTTGTGTTCCCTGCTGGGCCGCTAATTGAATTGTATTCTGTCTGGCTGCCCAACGGAGAGGGTGCGCCCCAGCCTCGGGATGCAGATTACAGCACCTTATATAGCTAATGAGCAATGCTGGCAGCTGAACAGAGGAGCGTAATGGGCTTGGGGCAGAGGCGGGGCCTCTGGAGGAAAGTGGCAGGGATCGGCTGAGTCCCACGGGCGTGACTCGCTTTCCGCTGGCTTTGTAATGAGATGCACTGACTGGGTGGCTTTGATTATTTTAACTTCCACGGGAGGGAGCTTTGCTTGCAGTGCAGTGAATATTAATACAGCTGGGAACCCCCCCCCCCCGCCCAATTCCTGCCCAATCCTGGGCCCTCCACACCCAGTGCAGTCCCATCAAGGCACTCTTGGCAGTTTGAGGAAGAGGGACCTGCTTTCCTGTTCCCCGGCCCCTTTGGGGAAGTGCAGCCACCTGAATGCAGTTAAAGAAATGCAGAA